AAGCGCTCAAGATGGCGGGAGGTTCGGCGAGATAGAAGCATTAGAGGTGAGCATCGGGCCTGGGAGGATTGGTTACTTACCGCAACACTCCTTTCCTGACCATGAGCAACATCTACATCCAAGAGCCCCCCACCAACGGCAAGGTGAGGCATGCCGGAGGGCAGGGGCTGCGGTGGGCGAGGGGTAGGCCGTCGGGTGGAGGGTAGCTGTACCCCAGCCTCGATGAGGGGCCTGCGTGTGGTGTGCTTGCGGGGAGCTACTTTGGAAGGTGGTATGCGCTCCTCTTGTGGGCCGGGTGTGCACTGCGGTTGCTTTTGAATGGGGGCATGTGAAGAAATTACATGTTGCGGAGGGTGGGAATGAAGGGACGACAGGTGAGGAGGATATGTACTGTATGTGTGGCGGTGAGGTTGGGGGGTGGGCATGGTTTGGTTGACACAGCCCTAAAGGACATTACCTCAGTCAAAGCACAACGTGTGTTGTGTGGAGACATGATACAGAGTAGTCCTTGAAGGGCTTAATTTAATTTTCTCTGTTCTGAACTATATCTTAGGTTCCTAAATGTATTATAATCTCTCACTGAATGCAATAGTATTACTTGTAGGAAAGGTAAATTGTGTATTTTTTTCATGTTGTTTCATTATAGAAGTGATACAGATTATCTAAGTATCGTGTGTCAGGTACCAGGTCATTGGCTTTGAAGTCTTGTACATACTGGTTCTGAACTGTATGTTAAGTCCTGGCAGTACTGTCTGGGACTAACATTTGAATGCCTGCTACCATTACTAATATAATGAATTCAGAAGTATTTTTTTTTCAGTCAGCAGTGCTATTCTTTGATCAGCTCCTAAGTTACAATAAAATCGATTTTTCTGTTATTTTTATTAGGTTTTGCTGAGAACAACAGCAGGAGATATAGATATAGAATTATGGTCAAAAGAAGCACCAAAAGCATGTCGAAATTTCATCCAGCTTTGTATGGAAGGTAATGACTGAATGGGATAGGAAATCCCATTTAAATCATTTCATGTACATATGCAGTGTTGTTTTCTTTGTGCCTTTTTTGTAAAACAGAAGTCATAACTATGTTTTAACTTTAGTAGGTTAATGAATTTATTTGTATTTAGAAAATACTACCAACACTCAGTGTTTTTCAAGATTATTAATGAACCAGTGGAGAAAAAAAAAAAGAAAAAAATTTAGATCATGTTCATAGTAGATGACGTAGTATTACTGAGAATTTGTATCTCACAGGCTTGGGAAGGCTTATTTTCAGGAAGTTTCTACAAAGCAGCAGTCATGCAATATTGGGCATCCTCTGAAATTCTCATTTATATATCACCATGTTTACTACCTTTTCATTTTTTTCATAAGCGTTTCTAAAGTTTCATTTGCTGTAGATTTTTTGTTAACAGAAGCTCTGTAATGCTCTTCACTGAAGTGAAGCTCCCTATTGGGAAAACTGAAACAAGAAGTTGTGAAGAATCTGGTGCCTTTTTGTGTTTTCTAGCTGCTGCTATTATCCCATTGATACATTTATAGAGTGGTTAAGGGTTTTTTAGCCCTCCTCTGTTAAGGAAAAGTAACAGTCTAGAATTTGTGCCTCCAGCATGGATCCAGCCTGTCCCATGTTCTTACACCTAATGTGAAAATGTGTGTCTCCATTTAGGGCTCAGGGCAAGCCCAGGGAGCAGGATTTTCTCTCTGTTGTCCCTCACTCTCCCAGGGGAGGATTAAAAAAAAAGGGAATAAAGAAAAGATGCTTCACACAAAGTTGGAAGTTAAAACTGTAACAAGTTTAATGAAAAACAACAGGGGAAAGGAAAAGGAAATTAATAAGGAACAAAGGATATTTAACTATATACAAAACCCGATCCCAGTAGTCCCGAGTGGAAGTGTCTAAGCAGTGCCTCATGGCCGCTGTGACCACTGTGGCTCGTCACCAGGGACCTCAGTGGTGACGGGAAGTGGATGGTGGTGGATGGTGCCGAGCATGTGAAGGTAGCCTCAGCCATCCCAAGATGCAACAGGAAGCAGCCCAGGAAGCCAGGAAAAGCCCTCGGGCTTTTTAGACTGTGGGCAGAAAGGGGAGGGAACAGAACTGATCTTGGACCCCCCAGGGTCCTACAGAAACCACCTGTCCTTCCCTTTCAGGCTGTTAACCCTTAAACTATAACAACGTGGAGATTTTTTGCAATGGTAAATCAAGTTTTTAGCCCTTGGTAAGTCCTGAAAGTTCAGTCATTATCATCAGTGTTAAAGAAGTGGGTGACACTTGGGTTTCATGCTCATGAGTGAAAATTTTAGTCCTTTGGTCTATGGATATGGCTAACAATGTATGTGAGATGTTGGCTGCGACAGAGTATAATAATTCTGTCTCTCCTTTTAAATTGATGTGTGTTGGTAGTATCATTCCAGTGATAAAAGTGAAAAGTTGAAAAGGAAGTAACTCATCAGTATCATCTTTCTTGGAACAGAAATATATGACACCACATTTATTTTTTCATAAATGTCATCAGCAATACTTTATAGATGAGATACTGTCACACAGAGCAAGACAGTGGAAGAGGAGGGAACCCAGTGGAAATAACAGAATCCAGTTACAGCACTTGCTTTTTGGAACCTCAGAGTCTAGACAGCTCTGCATAGTGTATGTGGAAGCTTGGTTCTGAGACTGCATGTATTTAATATCCTTTTCTCTTTTTTTTTTCTTTTTTTAGAGTATTACAATAACACAATATTTCACAGAGTAGTGCCTGGCTTTATAGTGCAGGGAGGTGATCCCACTGGTACTGGATCAGGTGGAGATTCAATCTATGGAGCTCCCTTCAAGGTATGTTTCTGTGTATCTTTTGCATTAATTTTTGGGTGTTCTCTATCAGTTGTTCTTCCTACTGTGTTAGATTGTGAGAAAGCAAACTGTATATTAGCAATACAACATTATACATGTACAGTAAGTGCTTTCACATGTTGATTTAGTATTTTTAATATGCCTTTTTGAATTGAGTGTTTTTAAATCTAGCTGTACTGATACTTTGAACCTTACTAGCATGAACTTCACAAGGAAAGATGGGCGAGAGGAAGAGTTAAGAGTAGGTGTCGATATGTGGCAAACTCAGATGCAGATGTACATTATTTACACACATCATATATCCTTTAGTAAAGGTCTCTGAATGTTGTGTATGTGTTCCTTGGTATTATTGATACTGGCATGGCTCATCTCTTAGGCAGCAGTCTGAGTAAAGCTGTGCACAGCAGCTGTGTTTTGTTCTGCCTGATTGTTCTATTTCAGATGGGCAAACACCTTTAACTCATGACTGAAGCTGCATAGCATGTCTCTGGGCCTTCTATCTCCCTGCTGCTAGAATAGACTCATCCATGTAACACAAATGCGAAGTTTGTGGAAGGGTTTGGTACCTAAGTAGAGAACAAAACAATTATTACTGATATTTTGTAGCATCACCACTTAAAATTTGTGATATCTCAATATTGCAATATTTAGAATTGTGATACTACGATGGTACTAATATATTGCTCATCACTTTCACCTTGCTTTGAAAGTAGTCCTATTCTGGTTTCCCATGGTCAAGAAAATATAATTCCTATGGGTTTTTGCAATAATGCAGTCTGTTATTGAGCATCCAGTTATTTTACATGAATTAGAATTTTCCCCTAAATAGAGTGGTTAACAGGAATGTTAGTTCTCCAAGAAATATATGAAATGCAGTTAATTTTAGAAATGCTTTGGATTTTTTTAATGTTGGGGGGGATAATAAATTCTGACAAAAATAATGAATAACAATTCGTTATTAGGCAATGGTTGAAAAAAGGGAAAATTAACAAGACAGAACTTAGAGTTTAAATCATATTTCTTTCTGTTACTGATAGACTAGTTTCTAATTCCTTTCTTTCCGTATTTGTTGGTTATGTGTTTATGGTTTCTTTTGGAATAAGATTGTTTACTTGTTTGCATTATTGTAGGAACAAAGAAGAAAAAGTATTGACTAAAAATAATCTCTTCTGCTGAAAACAGAGGTTTTTAGATACAATTGTGGCATTAAGTTTCAAAAGAGTTGGTTGATTCCTGTCTGAATTTAAAACAACATGTTTTCTGTGGATGTATTTTGATGTAAATAACAGTAGCTAAAGAAGGAGAAAAAATAGCTCCATACTTAAGTCATCTTCTTTCCTCTTCTGTCTTTGCCAGGATGAGTTCCACTCACGATTGCGATTTAATCGAAGAGGACTTGTTGCTATGGCAAATGCTGGGCCCCATGATAATGGGAGTCAATTTTTCTTTACATTGGGTCGTGCAGATGAACTCAATAACAAGCACACAATCTTTGGAAAGGTCTGGTACAAGGACTGTAGTTCCAGTTTAAGTTTAAGAGAAGCTACTATAAATTTCTCAGTATTTAAAGCCTATTTTAGTGGTGTTTGCTGCTACGTACATTTAAAATTTATTTCACTGCTTTCTAAGTCGTCTTTGTTCTCTTTGTTTCTTGTGTCTACAGAAATGTGTGTATGGGTGGTTCCCGTAACTATCTACTTTGCTGCTGTTATTCTTCTAAATTGTATTTTGGTGTGTGTTTCTTTTGAATAATCTCTTACTAATATTATGGCTCTATCATTATTAATCAGTTCATCTAACACTAGTAACATTTTAGAAAGTTTTTTTGTAAATTCTAATTAACCAAGAAGAATCAGGACAATGAAAAATAAAAGATTAATTTAGCACCCTCATGATTTATTTTAAAGAAAATAAACATTTTTTTTATTTCACAGTGTCTTTTATTTTCCTGTTTCACAGCTCACAGTAAGAATTTGACATCTTCCCCTGCATATGCTGTCAAGAATGCATGTGCTCCTTCAACTCTTGCTGTTAAATTTAAAAAAAACCCCAAACCTCTGGACATTGTGCTTGCTATCTTTTAAAAATCTTACATGCTTCCACTATCTTCTGTATCATTTGTGTTTTCAAAATTATTTACGTAATAATTGCGCTGCATTTTGCATAATAGTTAACAGAAGTTACAGTAAAGGACTTTCAAACCATTTTTATAAATTTGACAGGTTACAGGAGATACAATATATAACATGTTGCGCCTGGCTGAAGTAGAAGTTGACAAGGAAGAGAGACCTCTCAGTCCACACAAAATAAGAAGTAGTGAGGTATGTTCTGGTTTGAAATGTGAAAATTATTTTATTTGTAGTGTTTGCACAAATGTGTTCTAGTATGACAACTTGTCCCTTGTATATTGTTTTAAAGTACTGAATAATTTTATTATAAAAAAATGCTTTGCAATGCTTTGTAGCAAAGGCTCAATGCAAGATGAGTCTAAAATAGCACTTTTTTAACAGGTTTTGTTTAATCCTTTTGAGGACATTGTTCCAAGACCAAATAGAAAACTGTAAAAGGACAAGCCAGAAGAAGCAATTAAAAAGTCCAACGTAAAAGGCACAAAGTAAATATATGCAATTTAAGTCTTGATTAATTTTCTTTCACCTTTAATTTGCAGCTTGATAATTTTCTGTGTCTGCTTTTGGGACATAAGGCTTTACCAGAATGCATGGAGAAATGTTCTTTAATGGTAGCAAAACCTACTTCTCTGTTTCTGAAGAGACTGTATGAATCTGGTTGCTCTGACTGTAGTGATTGCTGTGCATCAGCTGAACTCTAACTTTTTCCTGCATGATGATAGTTTGTTGCAAGAGAGGTAAAAGGTAGCTTAAGCATTTCCCATGGGCAAGAATCATGCTTTTGTGACTGACTTGACATTGAAGTTAATCTGTACTAGTAACTTGGTCATAGCTCAGCTGTTTCAGCAACCACTTCTTTTTCATTAAATACTTGGCAAATGCCAGGCATTTTGACATGGGAAATTCTGGTTTATGTGAACGAAATTTGGTAGTTATGAACATGCATTGAAAACTAATAGGAAATCTAAACTGTGTGTATGCTTTCAGTTCTGTTGAACAGAAATACAACATGTAGAGACTGACTGGTTCCAACATAGTGTAAAAAACATAATTTTGAAAAAAATCTTAATGATTGTTATGTCTTTTAATTACATTCTGTGAATGTATGTACATTTGATGTTTTTCTTAGCTGTCATATCTGGAAAGTATTGTGTTTGGTGCTTGAGTGGAGCTCTATTGGAAAAAAAAAATTAAAAGTGCAACTTACCTGTTTTCAGAGCTGTCAGCATTTAAGAGTGTGAAGATTAGTCAAGGCAGAATGTCTTGAATTCCATCTTAACTGTTTTCTAAATGATGCTTAACTAGCCTGATTGTCTAGAGAAGAGAAACATGTCTCGCATCTCTAAATATTGGTGATTTATTGCAAAACAGCATAGTTGTTTGATACATTTAACAGGATGAAAAAATTTGCATCGAATATGAACGTAACAGGTTTAAAATTTGTCAATTGTTAATAAAATAGCATTTATAGTTTTACTGAAAGTTGTGTTTTCTCTCTTGAAGAAATTTTAATCTCCTTTCCTTTGGAGAAGAAGCTGAAGAAGAAGAAGAGGAAGTCAATAGGGTTAGTCAGGTACTGTACCAAATCATCCCGATTTTTCTTTTCAACTTAAAATTACCTTTTTGTGTGTTTGTAAAAAGCTTTAAAGTTCTTAATGTCATTCGTATGTTTGAGTTTTGAACAACAATACTTCTAGAAATTTTATCAGTTTTTATTATTCTAATATTTTGACTTGTTGAAAAGACAGAAGTTTTTAACTTTTCCAACTTTGAAGGTGCCTTCAATTACTGTGTGGTATTTTTACAGTTGTGTAAACATAATGTTTCATACTTCATATGTCTGCTGCTTAAAATTAATGGAGGTGATAGGTACTTTATTCTTCTTAACCTCCTTAATTATAAAGATGTGATTTGGTGGTAAAACACTTGGAGTTTGAATAGATCATCTTGTTTATTGCCAGTGCATTTTTAGCTCCATTTTAATATATCTATTTCATGTGCAAAATGAGATGGAATTATTGTGGTAAAAATACTGCATTATCATAATGAAATAGCACCCTATTGTGAATTATCAACCTTCACAGAACTTGGGTTGCATGGGTGTTCTTTGTTCTAACATTTTCTAAACTGACTTTGCCACTTAATTAAGATTGGTTTAAAAATTTTGTTGTAAAGTTGCCATACTAATTTCTGCTACAGACCAAATTATTTCTTTAGAGCGCTAGGCTTTCTAACTTATTTTATGGTTCAGGTACCTACCTGCTTCAGTTAGTGATTTGACTATGTAGTGTTGAGTCCTGTACCATCATAAATGAAAAAAAATGTCCTCGAGCCCTACGGATTTAGGTAAAATACAAAAGACAACAGTCAACAAAGTGACAGACAGTATTACACTGAGATAGTACCAGCCAGGATGATAGTAGAGATTTATCACAACGATAGTTTTAACTACTTTTCTTCCTTGCTTCAACGTACCAGTCAGACTAATGACACCTGTTTACCTTAACACACTTATCTGCAGTTCTGCTCTTGGTATATGTCTGGGTTTCAGTTTTTAATATTGCATTTAACTCGTTTCCTTTCATCTTCTTCACTTTCACACCAGATACTGGCTTTTCAGTTTAAAAAGATGTAAACATCTCTTTCATGACAAGACTAGTTTCAGTGCTGTCATGCTGTCTTCAAGATCTCCTGCCTGAAGATCTTGTTGTTCAGTTTATTTGATAATTTGCATCAGTAGATGATTCCTGCATGGTGTATTGCAGGTTGTTTGTTTGTTTTTCTAGGGGTCGTATTAGTGTTCTACCAGTTGATAAGTACTGCATTGTACATTGTAGTTGTCTGAGTTGTCATATGCCATTATTGGAAAGTAAAGTTCTTAGCTCTTCATTCACTCAAGTATGTATGTGCTAGACCATATTTCTGGATATGTAATGACTGTGATGATTAAACAATCTCTTTTTAAAAAATCTTTACTTTAAAATTAAGTGCATTGCTATTGCAAAAATACCTTTTAAATCCATGGGTTAAATTTGATACTCCTCTTTCTGGATGTAGTCACTTGAAAAGAATGCCTTCTTGGTTCTTCTGCTATTAAAAGTGTTTATGCTTACTGCTTAGGTTAAAGCTATTGAAAAACAGATTACCTTTTTCTTACCATTATTCTTTTTCACTATCTCAAACACTGACATTTGTAACACCCTTTTTTTTTTAACAGAGCATGAAGGGAAAAAGCAAAAGTAGTCATGATCTACTGAAGGATGATCCACATCTAAGCTCAGTTCCTGCTGTCAAAAGGTTAATATGTGATTTCCAGTTTCCAGGACAGATTTACTTTCTGGTTGTTAGATGTGATTAGCAGCATGTATATATACTCATTGTTTGTCTATTACACTTTAAAAAGGGAAGAATGGCAATGCTGGATTGGACCAAATTTTCCTCTAGCCCACTATAATGTCACCAACATCTGCCATCAGTAGATGCTTAACAAAGAACGAAAGCAGGGTAAGCATAGTGTTTACCTGAGTAGCCTACCAGTCTCCATGTACTTTGCACTTGGGCGATTGTCAAGAGTTTGGTGCAGTTCATCTCTTTAGTAATCCTTAAGAGAGCTCTCTTCAAAGTACTTGTACAGTCTTTTAGAATGTTGTTTATAATCAAGTGTTCCTGTCTGCTGCAGGTAGAGGTCTGAACATGGTTTCTGCTGACCTTATTTGATAAATTCTAACTCTTACTCTGGAAGAGACAGTGAGCAGTCATTCCCTTTGTACCTCTCTTCACCACAATCGCTTCTTAGTCTGTCTCCTTTCCAGTCTAAACTTTTAAAGCCTACTCAACTTTTCCTCACACAGAAGTCATTCTCTACCCGTGGTTTTTCTTGTTGCTCTTCCCAACCCTAGTTCTGTTCTAAAATATTTCCCACTCCACTCCCCCAAATCTAAACAGCGTATTTAAAATGAGGTGAATAATAAATCTATGTGCTTGTATAAACATGGTTTTCTTCTCTATTTTGTTTTAATACTACCTAATTTCTGTTTTGCTTTTTTAACCACTGTTGAGTATTGAGCTGAGACAATTCCGTGAAAATATATCAACTCAAAGAATTTGCTTACCATCAGTGATAGTCAGCTGAAAGCTGACCTATTCTGTATGTGGGACTCCTTTTCCTCATGTGCATAGCGTTACTTTTATCTCCTTTGGATTGCATCTAGCATTTCATTGTCTTATCATTCATGTCCTTCTGCAATTCCTCATTCTGCTCTTGTGTTTACTATCCTGAGTACTACCAAAAATCCTCAGTAACCTAACTGTTTGCCTGCTTTGTTATTGAGGTCATTGAACAGCTCAAGCCCCAACACAGACCACTGTGAATATACACTAGCAATCTTCCTCCATTTCAGGAAGTGATCGTTTGCTTCTAACTGCTGTTTCCTGTCTTTTAACCATCTATTTATTCATGCATGGACTTCCTTATCACCCCAAGACTACTTAGTTTCCTTATAAAGCTTTTGGTTAGATGTCCTATGTGAGTCTGGATATATCAGAGAGATCACCCACAACCACATGTAGCCCTTTCAAAACGCTCCCAGAGGTTGGTATGGCAGTTCCCTTTTATATCCATGTCACAAATCCCAAGCAGGTCATTTTTTCTCTTACTATGGCTTCTACTTGTTCAGTACTGACATCAGAATTACAGGCCTGGATGTATTTTAATTTAATACTTAAAGATGTGGTTTGTTGTTGGTTTTTGTTTCTTTAGAGGTTTTTGTTTGGTGGGATTTCTTGTTTTTGTTTTTGCTGTTTTGTTTTTTTTTTTAGTTAGAGTCTTCTGTTAAGAAATACTTCCATGGAGTTTTCTGGATTAGTTTTTTAAATGAAATTAATGTCATTGCTTACAACAGATACATTGTTTCTTTGGTGACCTTGATGACTTATTGATGCCTTAGCGAAAATCTCAAAGCCTTGACTTCAAAGACTACTTTAATATTCCATGCTTTGTTTTTCTAATATAACTTCTTAAAATTGTGGAATGCAAAAATTTTCAAGGGTCTTTGCTAGCTGACATAAACTAGTAATAGTGGATATGTTAGCTTTAGTATATTCAAATAGATTCTATTTTTTTAATACACTAAACTGTAGCTGTGTAACAAAAGATTTTGATGTTAAGCTTAATAATCAGTATAGTGCATGTTGAACATGCCTATATAGAGGCAGCTTTCCTAAATATAGACTGTTTGAAATGAAATGCAAGGAATTGTTTGAAATGAGATTAAAACCATTCATCTTAATAGTGAATTGTGAATTATGATTTTTGTTTGGTTTTTTCCTTTTAACTGCAGTGTGATGCAAACAGTAGTTAAAAAAAACCACAGTGATGTACTAATTTGTTGTGTATTTTGTCTGACAGTATTCTTGTACTGTTGCTTATGTTTTCTGTTTGCTCTTGTAAGATACTGCATTTATGCTGTGACATAGCACTTGCCAGTCTGCTTTTTACTCCAGATAGAAGACTATAGAAATCAATCTACTTGCCCAATCATACTTTTTTCTTGAACCAAAATTTTTTAGTTTAAAGTTTAATAATAAATAATAATGGTTATTGTTGTTACAATCCTTCATCTTTCAAGAGACTGTATACGTTGCTGTTCTGTTTGGGTAGCTCAACATGTGGTTAGAATTTATCCATTGTGTCACAGTCTGGTTTTATCCTCTGTTTTTAAACATTTCTAATTAGAAAGAATTATGACAGTTGAACGATAGACAAAATTATTAATACTGTTAAGTTTAATATGAGGAGGATATAATTGAATAGGATGACCAAAATTTCAAGTAGCTAACCAAAGTATTTGTTATTTAAGAATTGAGGCTCTTTTAAACAGTATTTCAAATCTCTGCTGGTACTTCAAAGTAATTATGATTATTTTTCTTCTTTTAGTGAAGCAGCAAGTGAAGAAGGGGATTTGAGTGAGGTAAGTAACTTTTTTTTAAAAAGAAGTCTTTGCTGTGTGTGAATTAGATTTTCTTAGAGAAGCAAATGCTACTTAGAGGCTTTTGACAACCAACTCAAGTCAGATTTCAAGTAAAATGCTGGAGGTCCTTTCAGAACTCTTAAGGTTTGGCCATTGTGAACATTCACAGCGGGGTAGAGTTACTACTGCCTACTGTCTACTGCATTTTATAATAACTGCTGACCAGGTATTTCAGTCAGTAAATAAGGTGCATAGGAGCTTATGTACCACAAAGTGACAAACCATTAATAAAAGTCCTGAAATTGCTTCTAAAAAAAAAAAAAGTGTAAAAATAAGTTTGTCATGAATAATGATGTAACTCAAATGTCTAAGGGGAAATCTGCATATGAGTGAGAATCCTGTTGGAAAGATTCCTTAAAGGAAGCAAACTTTCAGTGAATCTGTATCACTTGAATAGTATTGGTTAAGACTGACACTTCTGAAAGACAGGAAATCTGAACAATCAAGCAGCAACAACCAATCAAACATGGAGGCTATTTTAATTACAAGAAGATTGTCATACATGGTGCAGAGTAAAGTTACAAGCTGAAGTATGTCTTCGCCTCCAGCCATAGGTTGTGGGGATAGCCCTTTGAGTTATGTTACGACTAGAATTTAATATTTGAGTAGGAATGTAATCTCCCATTCCCTGAAGTTAGTCCTGAAATGTACTGTTTTCCATATCTATCCACCATGCACAGGTACTGCTTGGTTAGTTGATGCACTGTGGAAATTAAAAAAAGACACAATCTATTCCATTCTTGTGCCTAAGTAAAAAGAAAAGAGTCTACTTCCACCCTGTTTCTTGTTGGATTTTCCACAATGCATAGTATGAGCTCAGGTTCTTGGCCTCCTCTCTTCTGTGACTCCTGCTGTGCAGGAGCATTTAAGTGTTAGAAGGGTTCTGAGAATGGTATTTAATAATTCTTCAGATGTCCAGTGTTAAATGAACCTGATTCAAGGAGTACAGTACAGAAACAGGTATACTTATTTAAATTTTTATTTTTCAGCCTAATTAATTTGAATGCTGTTATAATAATGTCGTGGATTAGGAAATAGGAATGCTTTATTTTTTCCTACAGCTGCTCTCCTTAGGTTTCACTTCACTGAAAGATCTTAGCTAGCATCTAAAGTTGTACTAGTGTTTTATCATCTCTCATGGAGTTATTTCAGTTAATGCATCACAGGACCACTTTCACATTTACACAGCTGCAACATGTTAGTAGTTTTATAGTCATCCTAGAAGCAAATAATTCTTCCAGTTCTCCCTGCCTTCTCCAAATAACAAGTCTAGTGTGTAAGAGAAACTCATAATTCCTTAAGTGCCTAACCTTGCTGTTCATACTATAAAATATCATCCTGTTTCTCTTACTGCAGTCCTCAAATTCGTACAGATCCTTTGTATTAACAGTACTTCATCACTATTTGTTAAGCCTCTTTTTATGCCCAAGTCATTAATGAAAACATTCTATGTAGTGTGCTCACAAGACTGATGGTTTGTTTTAATTTCCTTTTCACCACCAGTGACATTGACCAGTGTTTTCCTCTTCCTATTTGTCAGCTAGTTGTTAAGCAGTAAGTTTTGTGTGGTACTATAGATAGATAAAGCTTGATATATGCCCCTCCAATTCAATAATCTCAAATGGCTAGATCATATTACATACAGTAGCCATTACATATGCTGATGCAAAATCTCTCATTACATTTTTATTTCCAGAGCAAACAGAAGAATAGGGCAACTTCACCTAGTTAACAACATCACCTGAAATCCAGCTTTCAGTTTTTCTCTTTTTGTGTCTTGCTTCTCTCTCCTCTTGTATCTGTTGCCACTTTTTTTCCCCTCTCCCCCTCCATAGTTACAGACATGGTCTTCATGACACTCTTCCTCCTGCCTGTCAGTCACACCCAGCACAGGTACATTGTCTTCAGAGCATTCCTCTCTTAAGTGCTGGCATGCTAGCACTCTCCTGGATAGAGTACTGACGGTCCTCTTGAATACCGTTTCTAAATCTGTTCTTTCTCTCTGTGTGGTTAAAATTACAGTCACTTAGGATCTTATGCTTTATCTTTGTTTAATTAACCTGTCCCAAAAAATGCAGAGATGTGCCTTCTAATATTTGAGTTGGCATCCCGCCATTAAAATTCATGCAGACTTCATTCTTCAGCAGAGGAACTAGTCAAACTTGGATCCCTTCATCTAGCCAATCTGCTTCTTCATTGCTGAGGGAAATTACTTCTCCCCTCAAATGTCTTTGAACTGACGTAGTTTATCTTCTTTTACTGCCTTCTGCTAGGCCTGGAAGCATCATGCCTCTGTAGCAAGTCAGGATGATCAATTCCACAGGCTTTCACAACCTCTTTTGATCAATGTGGCATTTATAAATTCCCTCATGGAGACTGATGGGCAACCTCTTCCATCACATCATGACTGCAGCATAGCCCTGTGGCAGAAAGTTCTTAATAAGTTTTATTTTCTCTTAGTGGAAAATGTTCTTAAGATCTTAAGGAAATGTTCAATAAATTGCCTTAATCAAATTTTGGATCCATTAACAGTGACAAGACTACTACCACATTATGATGAGTTCTTCTACAGACCTGTAGGGGTTTACAGTCTGGAATAGAGTGTTTTGTCTTTTTAAACAATACAGAAAAGATTTGTATATGAAAAAGTGTTTAACTACCATATTTCTAATTTTGTATTACTTCTGAAGCAGATAAGGAGGTACTTATTTGAAAACATTGCTTTTAAATGAAGTAATTTTTTTGTAAGGGATTATCTTTGTAAGAAAAGCTTTTCATATTCAAAATTATGTTGTTTAAAAAAAATCTTAAAAAGTTTAATCATTTTTAATCAATAAAGGAAGAAGAAAATTATGAAGATGCTGGTAGTGTACAAGGTGAAGTTGCTAGCAATGAGAGATTTGATATGAAAGAACGCATTGCCAAAAAGTTGAAGATCGATACCAGTGGAACAGCTAAACAGCCACTTCAAGAGGAAGAAGCTAAGACAGAAAAGAAAACAACTAGTCGCAGGTAAGTATCGTGCTGGGTTTTTTTCCCCCTCCAGCTTGTTTACAGTTAGGTATTCTACTCAGTTCCAGTTTTGCAGTTCCTACATTGATGGGTCAGTATTATATTAAAATTATCCTCTCCCTGCACCTCTGACTGTGGAAACTGAAATTCCGTATTGCTTTCTCATTTTTTAGTTTTATTTTGCAGTTTAAAGCAGTTAAATTACGTTGTTGTTACACTGAGCATTTACTGATACCTTGTGTGGGCATTTTATTTTTTTCCTGTGAGTTACAAATAAAGAGTATTTCTGTGTATCTATCATGCTTTCCTTTGTATTTCTACACAGTTTTAAATTGAGTTTTGTAGCTTATTTGTCTGGGGTAACACATGCTGGTCATCCACCATTGAGACTTACAGAAAATAAAGGCTCTAGTCGTCCATTAAGGTCTGGTTTAACACAGCAGTCATTCTTACAATGTACTGGTTTTTTAGCACTGTTATTAATACATCAGTTTTTAAATACCACCTAGGGCTGTTCTTGAAGGACTGGAATATGTCCTTGTTTAGTACTGTGACACTATATTCAAATAATTAAAGTAGCTGTAAACAAATTATTTTGTTTCTGTAGCAGTATTCAGACATATTACAGACATAAAAGCATGGGTTCCAAAAGGTTGTGGCAGCCTTTGTGAACATCCGTACTGAAAAACACTCAATTTTCAGTAAGTTAATTTGCCTTCTTAGGACGTTGTCTCTTGCTAATCTTTCTTCCAGAGCTAGTTTGGGAATTTCTGCCTAATACTTATATTGCCTAAAAACATACATCATGTATGCAAGTGATGTCTAGTGGACCTGATGGCAAACTTACTAGGAATTATTTTCAAGTATTTTAATAAACGTAGGCTCCAGAAGACACTGAGCAGTTAAGTCTTTGCAGTTATAAAGTTCAATCTCTAAATTTACTTATTCAGTGAAACTTACTGAGGGTAGAGGGAAGAAGCTGCAAAAAGATAATTAGATTTTGTACTCTAACTCTGTACAGTTGTCATAAATAACTGCTCTGTTTGTGGTAATTCCACTTTCTCAGGCCAGTAGCAGTAGTATCATGGCCATATGGGTTATCTTGACTCAGAAGAGGGTTTTATTGGATGTGGTTTTAGCAGTTGAGAGCCATAGCCATGTGAGACACTACTTAGTACCACAAGTAACATCAATTTCTAGACTTCTGTTGTTTTCCAAATGATAGTCTGGCATCTTCTGACATGAAAATCAAAGGCACAGTATTGTTTTATATAAATAAGGTATTATTAACTTTGAGATCTGATGAAATAAAGCAAGATAAATGTTACCAAGTTACATTGTCTGGAATAGTGACCTTTTTTGTAAGTGTACTGGAGATGACTGATAATATTTGCATAGAATCATTTAGGTTGGATAAGCCCCTTAAGATCATCAAGTCCAACCATAAACCTAACACTGCTAAAGTCCATCACTAAATCATATCACTAAGTGCCACATCTATAAGTCTTTTAATACCTCCAAGGATGGTGATTCAACCACTTCTTAGGGCAGCCTGGTCCAGTTGTTTGATAACCCTTTCAGTGGAGAAATTTTCCCTAATACCCAATCTAAACCTCCCATGGCACAACTTGGGGCTGTTTCCTCACATCCTATAGCATGTTACTTACCTCGTTACACCCACCTTCCAGGTAATTTTAAGGGAGCGATGAGGTCTCCCCTCAGCCTCATTTTCCTCCATTCTAAATGACCACAGTTCCCTCAGCCACTCCTCTTCAGACTTGTACTCTAGACCCTTCATCAGCTTCATTGCCCTTTGGACATGTTACAGGACCTAAATGTCTGTCTTGTAGTGAGGGGCCCAAAGCTGCACACAGTATATGAGGAGCGGGCTCACCAGTGCTGAGTACAGCAGACTGATCACTTCCGTGATCCTACTGGCCACACTATGGGACTTCACCACCCACTGTAGTACAAATATGTGTTGATCAGAGCAGGTGGAGATGTGGGAAATGGAAATACCAAAGAAAAAGTCTGATCTACCATACATAGCTTGAAGGGTAGTGTTTACTAACATATCAGAGGGCCAAGAAAAATGTGATATCTGTCAGAATTGGTCATCTCTTCAGGTATTACAATGTGCTAATAGAACTTCTAGAAATATTTTTTTCCTAGTGCTGTCTTGTAATGTGCGTGATTTTTTCTACAAATCTATGTTCATTTGTATCAGTGATATTTCTTTTAATACAATTCCATTTGTGAAGTCAGAAGTTTGCACATCTGTTTCCAAGAAAGAATATGGAAACAATACACACCTTAAAATCTTGGTACTGAGATCCAAGACCACTTCTAAATGCAGCCATACTGAGAGTGCTCAGATGGTGAAGTTAATTTTAGTCATTTCAGTGTGCTTTTGAACCTTTTGTGTATGTTTTTAAAAATAATTTGAAACACTTTCCGTTTTGGATTTTGTATTAGGAAGTCTCAGGAAAAAGAATTTCCCTCTCATTCTGGCAAGTCGTTAGAGAAATTCCACAGGTCTGCTATTTTTTATTAGAAAGTTTAACACTAAACTTCTAAATACAGAGTAGCTATTTATGTGAAGAAATGCATACAGACAAAAGAAGTGTTTGCTAGTTGCAATGGTAATCAGTTTTATCAGCATTACAATGAGTGTAAAATGGTAGTGTAGATCATCTGAAGGTTTCAGAGTAAATGGCCCCCTTCTTGTTTGGTAATTAAAAATACTGGTTTTACATTTGTTTTCATCCTGTAGGTGGAGCTCAGGTCCTACACTTTTCAGGCTATCAGCGTTTCAAAATGTTCCTGCTTCTTGCTTCCCAAATGTGCAGTGTGCAAATAAGAGCACAGTTGACAGTACAGTTTTTCACTGTTCAATCAACAGTTTCAGCTGCATCCTTAGAATGGATATGCTAATAAATAGCAATATGAAATAGGTGTCTAGCATAGCTAAACTACTGAGGAAGAAAAGCTTTTGTTTTTCACAGAATCACAGAATGGTAGGTGTTGGAAGGGACCTCTGAAGATCATCCACTTCAACCCCCCCTGCCAGAGCAGGATCACCCAGAGAAGATCACACAGGAACACGTCCAGGGAGGTTTTGGATGTCACCAGAGAAGGAGACTCCACAACCTCTCTGGGCAGCAAGGCCCCCACACCCTCTCTGGCCAGCCTGGTCCAGTACTCTGTCACCCTCACAGGAAAGAAGTTTTTTCTTATGTTTAGGTTGAACCTCTTGTGTTCCAGTTTTTGACTATTGCCCCTTGTCCTGTCACTGGGCACAACCAAGAAGAGCCTGGCTGTGTTCTCCTGACTCCTGTCCTTTAGGTATTTATAAGCATTAATGAGATCCTGCCTCAGTCTCTTCTCCAGGCTAAACAGACCCAGCTTTCTCAGCCTTTCCTCATAAGGGAGATGCTCCAGTCCCCTCATCATTTTTGTGGCTCTGTGCTAGACTCCCACCAGTAGTTCCCTGTCCTTGAACTGGGGAGCCCAGAATTGGACACAATATTCCAAATGTGGCCTCACCAGGGCAGAGTAGAGAGGGGTAGTATAACCTCCCTTGACCTACTGGCTACACTCTTTGCACCCCAGGATACCTTCGGCCTCCTTAGCCATGAGGGCACATTGCTGGCTCATGGTCATCCTGGTGTCCACCAGGGCCCCCAGGTCCTATTCCCCTGAGGTGCTCTGCAGGAGGTCAGCCCCCATCCTGTATTGATACATGGGGTTGTTCTTTCCCAGCTGCAGTACTTTTGAGTAGTTATCATTGCTCAAATTTAATTCTCTGTTTGTATTTCCTGTTTATTTTTCTCGTAATAGTCCTATGCAGTACAGTTGAACTAAGTTACCACACTTCTTTTGGCTTGTCAACCATCACTGACTATCGTAAGGAGATGAATAGTTAATAGTTACTATTAACTGCTATTGTAATAGTAGCTACATTGCTACTCCTTTGAATTTCTAGTTTTGCTTATATACATGTTGTTTATCATAAGTAAAATTAAAAAAGAAATCTCATGAAGCTTTACGCATCTACTCTGTGTGTGTATATATATAAGAAATTACTTGCTTCATTCTGAAAATAGAAGTCTATAACGCTTTTTGAGGTATAATTCCTGTGACGTGTTTTTTTTCCATTTGTTAAAAGACAGGATGAAATAACTAGTTTAGTTACAGATATATGCACTTGGTGAAATAATTTACATCCCCATTGTCATTTTGTCATATAGACACAATAGTAATAGTTAAAAATAGTAATACTGGGCAGAAATGCTCAACCTGTCAAGAAGCACCGTAGAAGAAACATACAAAAATGCAAGCAGTTAAGACACCATAACATTTTCTTAGTATCTGAATAAACATTGACACACTGAGCATGCAAGGTTGCTTTCCTAAAGTTCCCTCATAGTTCTGTGGTTTAGAACAGCCAAATGTAATTTTATGTGTGACCTCATGGAAGTCTTTTTTTAAAAGATGTTTAAATCAAGACTTCTTTTTGTCAATCTGCAATTGTTATAAATGGACAATTGGATATTTTTTATCCACAAATTAATAATATATGGTAGAATATATTGTTCTAAATGCATTTACTGTGCTCTTGTTAGCTTGTGCTTTTAATAGAGACATTTTAATGAAAAGAAGTAAAAATAATTCTAGAGACTCACATAATTCTACAGTAGAATAATTCTTTCGTTCTTGTAATTGTTGAAAATCTGTAACTTCGTTATTTATAACAGTTACACTTGCATGCATCTATGGGATGCATTCAAGGGGGCAGAGATGGATGTTGTACAAGTCTGCTGTCTGTAATCTTCATTACAGGGTGGCTGATGTCATTGCAGGGCTGCCGTCTGTAGTCTTTGAAACGTGGAAATCCTCTGACTGGAGGATGTTGCAGGTGTTGCACCCATTTTCAAAACAGGCCTTATGGATGATCTAGTTACCTTCATTTCTGTCCTTGAGCAATTATGGGGCAGGTC